AAAAACAAAACAAAACAAATCTACATATACACTTACTGGGCTCCCAGGACCAATGGAGACAATCTATTCCTTCCTTTAATGGAGACCCATCCCCCTTGTTTTATTTATTGATTTTTTTTATTTTAATAAAAGCATAATAAAGTGAAATATAAAGTTTTAAAAGTTGTGTGACAGATTTGAAACACTTTATAAAAACTAGGAAAAAAACAGAAGGCGTGGATTTCTCTCAGCTTGAGAAATGCAAAGGGTGGAGAAAATGGATTTGCAGACAGACAGACACACACACACAAAGCCATTTTCTCCACCCTTTGCAATTTCTCAAGCTGAGAGACATCAGCTTGTGTGTGTGTGTATGTTCCAACTCCCACAAGCATAGGGGATAACTCTGCATATGCTCCTGGACCTGGAAACACACTCTGCACATGCCCCAGGGTTGGGGGGGGTCATCAGGGCAGAAGGGGGGAAGATAAAAGTGCCTCCTGTTCTCCAGCTTTAGGAGGAACCGGACTGGCCCCTATTTCCGTGGCTTTGAATTGCCACCTCCTCCAAACCCCAGACCAGCTTCCCCTCCAGCAGGCAAGCAAGTGCACTCACTTCACTCCTGTCCAGGTTTCCATCCATCCATCCATCTCTCGCGCACCTTCCTGCCTTATTCAGCTCTAGGCAGAAGCAGCCATCCACAAGCCGGGGATTGATTACCCAGGGCTGCAGCCCTAAACAATCAAGCCACCTTAACTCTGATCTCACTGAAAGAACCGGAGGATTTACAAGAGCCGCAACCAAGGCAGTAACAGGGAGAGGTTCTGCTGCAAGGGGGGGGGGAGGGGAGGGCGGGGGTGGGCTGGGGTGGAGATACAAAAGCCGGACATTTTGAAGTTTTTAGTCTTGCCTGCCGGATGGAGGACATGATCCTGAAAAGTAGGACATGTCCTCCTTTTGCCGGACGTCTGGCAACCCTAGTCCACAGTGACTCTTGGAACCTTCAAGCCAAACCCAGAGGGTTGACAGCCTACTCTGCCTACTCTGAATATGTGCAGACAGACTTCCCTCTTTTTAAGCATCACTTAATCCTTGTTAGGGATGTAAATCTTTGCATCTGAAGACAAGGAAATGCAACATTCTTCTCCTTGCCAGTGTATATAGTGGGGAGTTTTGGGCTGCTACTGCCAGAGTTCTTGCATTGGCAAGAATGAGTTTTTGTGCAAAATTGCCTTTTTTTGCACAAAAGAAACCCAGTTTGTTCAAAGTTGTATAAAATTATTAAAGAGTCATCTTTATTTTGGTTGTTTTGTGCAAGAATTTAGAGCACTGAGGGGTTTTTGCATATTTCTTGAACAGTCCTAGCCTTCCTACATTAGGATTTCACTTCTCAGAGGGAAAAGGGACTAGAGACGTATCACACAAATTACAGTAAACTTAAAGGGGGAAAAGCACTTTGTCTTATCCTTAGCTAGAGGCAAGGAATTTTGTGCAGCTCTAAAACATCATAATGTCTTGTCATGTCCAGGCAGCCTAAATCAGTAAGAACCAGACATTCAGCAGGTATTATTTCCATCCCACATATCTAAGGGTCAAACTAGACAATACAGATATCAGAAGCTTCTTTGAGAAGGAAAATACCCTAATAATACAAGTTTGCTTCAATCCACATTTGGCAAATTAGCCTTATTTATTTTTTTAACAGGTCGTCTCAGAGGCAGCACAAGTCCCTTTGCAAGTATGTTGTCTCAAACGCTATATCACTGAAAGATTTGTATGAGTTGGGGGATATCATAAGCGGAAGAAATACTGTATTTTTCACTCTATAAGACGCACTCCCCCCAAAGACTTATGGAGTGAAGCTGGCGATTTTGCCCCCACTGGCCCCGTGGGGGGTGGAGGGAGCCCCCCAAGGGCCCGAGTCTGCCTTCCAGAACCCTTGGGAGGCTCCACCCACCCCCACAGGGCCAGCAGGGGTGAAATTGCCAGCTTCCAGGACCCTTTTGAGGCCTGGAAAGCCTCAAAAGGGTCCTGGAAGCTGGTGATTTCACTCCCACTGGCCCCATGGGGGTGTGGGGGAGCCTCCCAAGGGCCTGAGTTACTGCCTTCCAGGATCCTTGGGAGGCTCTCCCCACCCCTCCACAGGGCCAGCAGGGGCAAAATTGCCACCTTCCAGGACTCTCTTGAGGCTTGGGAAGCTTCAGAAGAGTCCCTGAAGGTGGTGATTTTGCCCCCTCTGGCCCCACGGGGGGGCAGGGTGAGCCTCCAAAGGGTTCTACAGTGTGTTCCATAAGACAGACCTCTCCATAAGGCTCACCAAATTTTTAGGAGAAGAAAAAAAAATAATCTGGGAATTTTGGCCTAATGGGCCAGCAGGGGTGAGGGTGGGGGAAGCCTCCAAAGGGTCCGAGAGTGCCTTCCAGGTCTTGGACCCTTTGGAGGCTTCCCCCACCCTCACCCCTGCTGGCCCAGCAGGCCAAAATTCCCAGATTATTTTTTCCTGTTTTCTTCTCCTAAAATTTGGTGCGTCTTATGGAGAGGTGCATCTTATGGAGTGAAAAATTTTACTCATTTTCCTGACCGTGTAATTTGATCCTTGGTTTAAGTATAAGGGTTTTTAGGTCAGATGCTATGACTGTGGCAATGATAAGCACTTCTGCATTCAGGAATTAAATCCAAAAAGGCTTAAAATTCTTAATATGAGTAAGAAGACAGTGTTTTCAATATTTGGGATTAGTCTTTGTATATTACTAGAAGAGTGCTTCTGAACCAGTATGAAATGTTTTTTCCCATCACAGAACCGCAGCTAGCTCTCACAAACACAGGGGTCAGGGAGCAGGAATGCCAAAACAGTGGGCATGAGCCTTCATTTGTTTTATAACCAATTTGATTTGTAACACATTTAGTTTGTTTGCTGAATCTTGAAATGTTGGAAGCAATCTTTAGCTTTAGATATATGTAGCAACATATGCACTTAACACCACATAAAATCCTTTGATCTCGAGTGTAGTAGGCAAAGTCTCTTTTTAAATTAAGCCCCTACCCTTCACTCTTGATTTTGGTGAGGGCAGTGGCTAGATGTGGTTGATATTGGTCTCACGGGCTGAGAGAGGATTTATGGAGAATATACAGCATATACATTTTCTTTGCTCCTAAGTTGCAGAAGTTTACCTGAGCTATGGGCTTATTCAGGAATTGCATGGTTCTCTAAAGCCCTGTAAATTGGCCATTGTGCTTTTGGACAACAAAGTCAAGCCCAAATAGGTTTTCAAGACTTGAATGAAAAAAAGATGATATCTTGAGAAGCCAGCTGAAATCTCACAGAAAATGTAAGGTACTGTTTGACAACCATGAACATCAAGCCCATCATGGATCATCAAGAATAGTATCATGGCGCTAGAAAAGCTGTTAGGGCTCAGGTGTAATCCTAAATGCATATAACTGTTTTTGCTCACCCTGTTCCTTTCATTAGCCACACTTCTCCCTTCACTTTGTTTTCTCTATTGTTTTTCTAGCTGTCAAGATTTAGACCACAGGGAAGAAGAACATTTCTCTCTCTCTCCCCCGCCCCCCCATGTTATGCTATAAAGAAAGCACTGTGTACATTACTGGTACTATGAATAACAATTATAATCCTTACATTGCACCGCCCAGAAACATGTTTCTGCTGAACTACATTTATGATATGCAGGGTTTCCCACACAATTTCACATCTAATTCTATCTAGCTACAGTGAGAGTTTTGTCTGATTAAGCCTCATTTTGAGTGCACTGAAGGCTCCTTGCATGTCTTATACTTATGAGTTAAATATCTGTATTTAAGGCTGGAAATTTTAACTGATTTCATCAATATAGCAAAATCTTCAATAAAAGTGTGAGATTAACTTGCAGCCCCATTGAGTGAATATGGCCACTGCCAATTAAAACTTATTAACCTAGGTAAGCTTAATTTGATTAATCAAAAGGTCATTTTTAACTTGTGATGGCAACACTCAGTTAATGGAGCTGCAAGTTTAACCCACACTCATATGCTGAGGCTCTTTCCGTATGTTTCTATAATAGAGACTTTAAAATACTGAAAAGTGTCTTCCTTTCTATTGATGAGTGTTATCTCTTGTTCATTGAATCTTAAGTTATCATACACCTTCAGATCCTCAGTATCAAAGTACAGCTGATACGTAAAGGCACTTAAATACATCAATTAATTTGAAAAAAGGCAGATGCTTGATGAAATAAAAATTCTTCCATCATTTAATAGCCACACAACCCCTGAGGATTTCATAGATAAAGATATACACTCTTCTGCACATACTTTAAAACTCTTTCTCCCATTCCCAGGATCACAGTTGCAGCCCCTCCACTATTTTGCATTGTTGAAGGTGCTTTTCCCCTGCCATTCATGTATAGTACAAGAGCCTCCCCACACTAGGGAAGAACGGGCAGTCTATTTTTACATGTTCTCATAAATTCATTCCATGTACATATATATGCAAATTTTTAGACACTGCACAACTAAACGTGTGGTTGTTTCTGGATATAGTATATGAATTTTATACACACTTGGGTATGTGAAAACCAACAGATAATTATATATTAGTCCAGCAAGCACAAATCAGGTCAGTTTACTTAAAATATAATGAATGAAATTATCTAGCATGTCACCTGCATTAACTTCACAGTCAGAATGTGGATAAAATGGCCTGGCAGTTTTCTTTTCGGAAAATGTAAGACCAGAATGCTAGGAGTTCACAATATGTCCAGTTGTACTAGGATAATAGAACACATTCAACAGTATAACTGCTAAGGTCAATGGAAATGGAATGGATGGGGGATGAAAGGGAAGCTAGTGAGGTTTTGTGACTAATGGTACACACACCCCCCAACATTTTAAAAATGATCTCCCAAATTTCTATAAAATATCAAAAAAGGCAGTATTGCACTAGGGGCAGGTTTGAGGAAATATAGTCTGTTCTGGTACATAGTTACGCTTATGTCACTTCAATGATCTCTGTTCCATCCTACCTTCTGAGCAGTCCGGCCCCTGGTAGCCTTCCTCGCAAGAACAGAGACCCTCTTGACAGAATCCACGCCCACTGCAGGCATTGAGGCATCTCAGCTGCCCACAGTCTTCCCCCACATAGCCCTCCTGGCAGATGCAAGTCCCGTTGGCACATGTCCCTTTCCCAGAGCAGTCCTCAGGGCATCTGATTTCGCTGCAGTCCTCTCCAGCAAAGCCCTCTTCACATATGCACTCTCCATCCACGCAGAGTCCTCGGAAGCTGCAGTCAGTTGGACAGCGGGCCTCTGAGCAATCTTCTCCACTATAGTCACTGTCACAGATGCACTGGCCATCGATGCACACACCCCGGCTTGAGCAGCTCATAGGGCAGAGGGGCTCTGAGCAGTTCTTTCCAGCCCAGCCTTCATTACAGATACAGCCACAGGATTCCAGGCTGAAGTTCCCATGGCCACTGCAGTGGGGGAGATAATCCAGCTGTCCTGCAAAGTTAGATGATAATAACAACAAAAACAACAACAACAGCAACATGGGCACAGGCCTTTTTGAGGTGGAGAGGCTTGCATGCTTCAGTGAGGTTGAGAGCTATGCTTAACGGACTCCCAAACCAGACAGGTCTCAGCTGAGAAGCGTGACCAACTGTGTCCACCAACCATCAACTATGATGAGAGGGAATAAACAGAAATCCATATTGGATCGGTCATCGCCCAGGTCAACAAGGACCATGGTTACAGGGTTCAGCAGATCCTGTTTAGGGACCAGGACAGGCTGGTGCAAAGCTACTGGAACAACATAAATGCAAAACTTGGACTCTCACAGAAAATCAAGACATTATGAAATGTTATTATGAGGCAAACCCAAGAGCCCATAGTTTTCAAAAACGAATGGTGGAAATTTGGAAAACACTTAAGCAGTGACATAACTGAACAATGATTAATGGACCAGAGTAGGTTTATCATCTGGAGCAAAGTGTTCTCAGAACTGGAATTGCAAAAACCAGAAATGGTACCAAAATCAACACAGAAGAACAACCGTAATATGGAAGACAAATGGAGGGTAGAAGTAGACACAATAGTGGAAGAAAGCATATCAATAGAGGAACAACTTATGGAACAACCCAGAAATTATGAGTTGACAGAATGGCAAACATCACTGAGGGAAAAAATAGTAACCCATTTTATCCAGAACACAGAAAGACAAAGGCTCCTCAATTTGCGCCAGTTACAAAGTAAACCAGTATAAGATCTACTGAGTGATGCAAATGTAGTCATCAGAACAATCCCAACCAACACACTAAAGGAAGCCATCTCATTTATACCACAGTGACCATAACAACCATGGAACATGGTTACAAGCTGCAAAAACCCCAGAAAATGTATGGCATTCCAAAATGGAAAATTTGTCTGGAAAGAAAAATAAACAAATTACGTGCAGACATTAGCAACTTAAAACACTTGAAATACTCAAAATTTAAAAATGAAAAAGTAAAAGTCAGACTGCAAAATATATGACCTAGAAAGGAAAACAGTTGTGGAAACTATGGAAGAATTAACAGCTACAGCGAAGAAAATTAAAAGATATGATGGACATTTGAAACAATATAGAGAAAACACACAATTTTGAAATAACCACCAATTGTTCTATACATCATTAAGAGAAAATGCAGAGCAAAAGAAATTAGGCCCATGTAAATATGATGCTCTAAAAAAAATGGGGGGGGGAAATATAACAAAAATGCCTCGTGGATTAAAGGCATTTGTAAAGAATCTCAAGGAAAACATATGTAATATTGTAATAACAAATGAAATGATTAAGAAGCAAGTAAAGGCTGTGAAAAACTGGAGTACACCTGGTCCGGATGAGCTGCATGGATTTTGGTTAAAGCATCTAACAAGTCTCCATCAAGGTACAGCAGTGCAATTTAGCCACTTACAGCAAAATTCCACAACTGAAGGCTGGATGACAACAGGCCACACATTTCTGAAAAAAGATCAACAAAAGGGCAGCAAACCCAGTAATTATCAACCAATCACATGCCTTAAAACAATGTTCAAGCTCCTCATAGGAGTACTGGCAATATCAATATATAATTACTTAACTGAAAACTCCCTGTACCCAACTGAACAGAAAAGGAACTTTAAAAATTCTAGAGGCAGAAAAGATCAGCTACTTATTGATAAAATGATCCTGAAGAATGCAAAAAGATGAAAAACAAACCTTAACATGGCCTGGATAGACTATAATAAGGCATTTGACTCATTGCCACACAGCTGGATTAACACCTGCCTAAAAATATTTGGGATATAGTATAAACACTTCTTCAAGAGAAGTTCCTCAAGAAAAACATGGAAAACTGTCTTAATGGCCCATAATGAAGAAACTGGGTAAGTTAGCATCAAAAGAGGAATATTTCAGGGGATTCTTTGTCACAACTGCTGTTTAACATCTCAAAAATCCCCATGTCAATAAGTTTAAATAAAACTGGATTGGGCTACCATATTTCAGAAGAAACAGAAAAAAATCAATCATCTCTATACATGGATGACCTAAATCTATATGGTAAACGTTCCACAGAGATGGTATCACTGCTAAACACCATTCAAATATTTAATGAAGATATTCAAATGAAATTTGGAATTGACAAATGTGCAGCTCTGTCTATATTATATACTGTGGAAGATCCAAAAACTAGATGGAATAGAATTAAAAATAGCAATATTATAAAATCACTCTCAAGTGATGAAAATTATAAATACCTTGGAATACTAGAATCAAATAACATTGTGCACACAAAAGTTAAAGAACTGATAGAAAGGGAATATATCAAAAGACTGTGGTAAATCTTAAAATCAAAATTAAATGGTGGGAATATGATGAAAGTCATAAGCACATGGGCAGTTCCAGTAATTAGATACCCAGCTCGAATAATAGATTGGAGCCAAAATGAATCAGAAGAACTGGATCAGAAAACCCGGAAATGAATGAACATGCATCATGCACTATATCTAAACTGGGATGTGGACACATTGTATTTATCACAAAAAAATGAAGGCCATGGATTACTGCAAATACAGCAGGCAGTAGAAGAGGAAAAAAGAAGCTGAAATGATTACCGTATTTTTCGCACTATAAGACACACTTTTTTCCACAAACAGGGGGGTGGAAAGTCTGTGCGTCTTATGGAAAGAAGAAAACAGATTATTTTTTCCTGTTTTCTTCTCCTAAAAATTTGGTCCATCTTATAGAGAGGTGCGTTTTATGGAGCGAAAAATACGGTATATTAGTAAAAGTAGAGAATTACTGAAAGTGGTGAAAATAGAGAATATTATGAAAACAACGGAAACAAAGGATCAATATAAGAAACAACAATTTGAAAATAAATTAAACAGCTGGAAAAATAAACCACTGTATACACAACTCCTGAGAAATATTGATGGAAAGCAGGATCACAATTCAACATGGGCATGGCTAAAACTGGGGACCCTTAAGAAAGAAACTGAAGACTTGATTTTTGCTACACCGAAACAAGCACTTGAAAGCAATGTGATGAAAGCTAAGATCCAAGGAATTCGTGCTAACAGGAAATGTTGACTGTGCCAAAAAAAGAGATGAAACTGTGTCACACCTCATCTGTGAATGTCCAAAGATTGCACAGTTTTCAAAATTAGACATGATAGAGTGCCAAAATTAGTGCATTGGTCATTATGCAGAAAATATAACTTGCCAGTCTCCAAAACTCCATGGGCAGAGAAGGTGTCAGAAAATGAGGAAGTCAAGATCTTGTGGGATTTCTGGATCAAAACTGACAGACACCTTAAACACAACACACCAGACACAGTAGTAATAGAACAAAGAAAGGTCTGGATCATTGACATTGAAATTCCAGAGGATGCCAGAGTTGAAAATAAAGAATTGGAAAGACTAACAAAATACAGAGACCTGGCAATCGAAACATCTTGCTTGTGGATGAAACATACTTCACTGGTCCCTGTAGTCATCAGGGTTTTGGGAACAATATCAAGAAATTTTACACAGTATTATAAGCAGTGGCAGATCTCAGAAATAACACCATCAGAGTTACAAAAAATGGCAATATTAGTAACAGCATGCATGCTGCACCACTATTTAACAGATACTTAGGTTTTGGGTTAAAACTTGTATCTGTTATATTATACCAGTCAATGTTTTTTTATAATTTTGATTGACTGTGCCTGGTGTTTTATAACAGCATCAGCATCAGCATCAAAAGAGGAATATTTCAAGGGAATTCTTTGTCACAACTGCTGTTTAATGTCTCACTTATCCCCATGTCAATAATTTTAAACAAAACTGGATTGGGCTACCATATTTCAAAACAAAGAGGAAAAATCAATAATAATAGTACTTTGCACACTTGGACTTTATCTGAGGAATCCTAATCATAGCCCCAAATGTTAGTCGGATTATTCCCATATTGGAGATGGAGTGTACCGGGCTGGCACACTAGACAACTGCCAGGACCCCAACACCGGTGATGCCCCCCCACCCCCATTTATTTCTTGACCCATTAATTTGAGTGGTGCTGTGTGGGCAGGCTCAGCCATTGAGATTCCTCACAATGCTTGCAGTTGCTCAGAACCACCCTGGCCAATGGAAAGGCCATCGACACTCAGATGCATGGCATTGCTCAAAACAATGCTTGGAGCACGGTTGCTGCCTCCCAATCCTTTATGTACGAAGAGCCCTGCACATGTCATTTTCCTCATCTGGCTGAATAGCTCAACAATTTAGGTACGTATCTGGCTTAGGAGGCAGAGGCCAAACAGGACGGAAAACCTACAACAACCATTGAAGAAGGAGTATCTTTTGTTGAAGATTGAACCTAGAGCTATTTAGAACTAGGGTGTTTCTTTCTACCATTTGGGAAAAGCTAAGACTCACTTGTTGTTTTAATGGACATGAATGTTTCTGTACTTCCCTCTTAAAAATCACCCAAACAGTCTCTGAAGGCCATCCCTACAGGTCCCAGTTAAAGGTCAGCAAAATAGATTTTATGAAAAGCAATCCCTTCACTTTTGGCTCAACTTTAAATACAGAAAAGCACATGTTTAAATAATAAAACAGGGAAGAAACATATTAAAGTATAGGTAAGAAACTAAAAAAGAATGTTAAGTTGGATAAATGGAAATTATCTGTGTGAGCTATAGTTGAGAATCCAGATTCTTATGGAGGGTTGATGGCCTGTCTGTGCTCAAAATTTTTCAAAATGAGTTTGCATAACTTCCAGCATTTTGGAGATGAACATAGAGACACTCCTTTCTGCTTCTGTAACACACTTTTTTCCACCCTAGGGATCTCTGCTCTTATCTTTCTACCATATAGATTATATATCGTTTATATATATATCTATCCCTATCGTGTATCTTTATGTTGTAAGCCGCCTAGAGTGGTCTTAACTGACTAGATAGGCGGGATATACAGTAAATAAAATAAATACAATAAA